TGAGCGAAGTGAATAGGCGAGGAACGGTTTCTTCGGACCATGTGGCGAAACTGCGTCGTAATGCACAGAGGATACGAAGTCCCGTACGGTACAATTTATCTGTATGTTCTAGTGATCTCATATCATGTCGCGAGAGCACTGACAGATGTGTTGGGATAGAACAACTGGCCGTCCAAGTTGTATGATCGAGTGGCTGGAGGTCTGGCGATACTGATGAACTCCGACCTGCTTGCGTTAAGAGGAAGTTGCATTTCAGTGGACTACGTTGGCAGTCGATCTAGGGCATGCTGGAGGCGAGCGCAGTCGTCCTGGTTCTCAGTGATCCTCCAGATTTTCAAATCATCTGCAAACAGGGCACATGGTGATTGGAGCTGCTGCGGAAGATCGTTGATATGAATAAGAAATAATACTGGCCCAAGTATAGTCCCTTGAGGCACGCCACTAGTCGATGGGAACCAGTGTCCAGTAGTCATTGACTTGTACTGTAAACTTCCGTCCCACAATAAACTCGCGTAGCCACTGAAGTAAGGTGCCACCGATTCCGTTCATCCTCAGTTTATGAAGGAGTATCTCGTAGTTCAGTCTGTCAAACGCCTTACTAAAGTCGATGTCCACCAGATAAACATCGTTCCGTTCATTGAGAGCTCGTACCCACTGGTTGCTTGCGTGCATTAAGTTGGTGATGTAGCATGGCCCTTTCGTAAAGCCGTGTTGCGCTGGTGTCAATACGTCCATCGATTCGAAGAACGACAGCAGACACTTTTTTACAACTTTTTCGAGAACTTTGGATAATATCGAAGTCAAACAGATCGGTCTACAGTTCTCTGTGTTACTCGGATCACCACCTTTGGGAAGCGGTTTCACTATCGAGCATTTCCAGTCGTTGATAACAGATCCTTCAGGGAGTGATTTATCGAATAGGTTTGTCACGGATCTTTAGATGATAATCGATAGGGACTTGAGTATTACTGGGTGAACTCAGTCTGTTCTGAGGGGCTTTGCACTATCGGGGTTGAGGAGTAGCTGACACACTCCAACTGTATCACATTGCGCGCTGTCTGGCACAACCCTTACCGGTACTGCAACCGCCGCCGCTTTACTGGAAAATACGGCGAGGCAGTGTGTAGCCAAGGATTCCGCGCGCTTCGTGCTTGAGATGAGCGTTTTTCTGCCCAAACTCTCTAAGACCAGTAGGCTGGCCGCAGGTTTCAATTGACGTTTCAAGTAGGCAAATATTCTTTTGGGTGCAGTTGTGGCCGAGGATGCTAGCTCTTCTTCGAACTGCCAGCGTTACTTCACCTTTGCGGCGTTACATAAGTTACGTTGTTTCTTGTACCCCGCGTGATCTTCATCACAACCCGAGCTGATGTACCTAACCCAAAGTTTGCGACGTCGTCGCGCTAACTGTTTATATTCCGTATCAAACCAATGCGGTTTGACAGGTCCGACTTTCGAATACTGCAGGGGAACGAACCGAGTACACAGCGAGTTAAGCTTCCCCTTCATTAATAACCGAACGGCCTTAAGTGACTCATCCTGTGGTAGTGTCCAATCATTCTGACTTGCGGCTTTGATGAGCCCGTTGAATTTTGTCTTCTAATGGTTGAATGTCGGCTTCCGTCTGTTGTAATACGGTAACGATAGTTCTATGCTTGCCACAGTGGTCACTGTTCGCCAGAGGTTCGAGGACTCTGATCTCGTTCAGCTTCTGCTCGCAGATAGTAAACCTTAGGTCCAGACAAGCTGCTGCGCGTCGGTTGGATGACATGTTTCATTGCCCAGATTTCAATACTCATTTTAGCGAATTGAGCCTCAACATTGCCATGACCGTGCAGAAGCCGAATGTCTGACCAGAACATCTTAGGTAATTTCAAATCCTCCTTTTGTAAGAAATGAGGGCGGCTCATGTGATTCTGTATATGTGGTAACCAATCGCAACAACGCTTTAATGGGCTACGGTAGATGCCACACAGTCCGAACCCAACGGTGTCCCGGTCGGATCAGGCTGCTTGTCCACAGTGTGATCGATACCGATGCCCCACCAGTTTAGGAAACTAGTACATATTAATCCGATTGTGTTTTTCATTCAGTCTCGCCATACTTCTTCATCACACAGTTCACGGAGGATGTGCACCATTGATATAAACACCTAACTGGTGTTCAATGAAGACGTTTTTCGTTGGACGGATAGTCGGATGCGGCGTTCACCAGCACACATCTGCTCTGCTCATTGTCACTCCAGCGATGCGCACAGTTTCTCCCTTTGGGGATACCAGGGGCCGTTCATGTGATCCGGTTTAACCCCGCTCTCATCACATCTAAACAGCCGTTACACATCCGGAAGCACCGTATGACCGTTTCATCCGCTTGGAAATCGTCAAAACCGCGCATTCCGTTCACCCCTTGGTGGAATTAGAACTCACGTTCCCACTTCTCCTTACTGGTCACTGGTTATGATCACTGGACCACGGGAGAGACTTTGCACCGACGGATATGACTGTGTTGTGTGTGTGCGGCTCATTCTCCGGGGACATGGATGTGAGCTTGGCGTCGCTAGCTCTGGTCGCAAAGTGGGCAGATAGATTACTTGGTGCTGATAGATTCACAAGAGGATAAAATTGCTTTTCCGAATTTTGGATGCCTGTTCCATTGCGTCTGGTCCTGATTACTTCAGCTTGCGTCATATATATATCCCCCACTATTCTCTTTCTCTTCCCTGAAGCTAAGGACCTTTATTTCTTCAAGACACAGTTGTTATGCCCGCCTGCCACAGAAACCTTATGCTCAGTACAGCGTTTTCCACCGTACGTTCGACTGACAAGCGGCTTTTTCGCTATCCACCGTCAATCAAAACGATAAACAGTCGCATACGCATAATAACCTCTTCAGTTGATGATTATGCCACTTCAACTTACCGATCACGTCTAATGCTTGTTCGGTACTGAAGGTGGTCGGATCGTCTGTCCGGTTTCACGACGAAGCACATACCGAAACGAACCATACTTTGGGTTAGCCGCCTGTGCTGGGACCAGTAGTGTATCGATCGCGAACCAGACTACTCGATGCTTACGAGGATAGAACCTCAATGCTTTTCGCATCCTCCCCTTTATTTCTTCTATAATAGATCTGAACTGTGATCGACAACCACTAGCCACTTAAGAATATCTGAGGTTCGCGTTAAAGTAGACCATTTTGCAGAGCAGTTCAGCGGACCTGGTGCGACACAGGCATTTGCTAAATCACTTGAACCGACCTTGGATGTTGTTGTCACACCTCCGACTTTGGAGGAGATTTGACATGAGCTAACTGTGTTGAAACGCAACAAGGTCCGTGTGCTCAACGTGGATAACAAACGGTGCAGTGCCAAAGACTGAGACTTTTTGAGGATTGAACCCTCTGCCTTATCTCTTTCTGACCATAGTAAGCTGTCTAATCCAGTCATCGTACTTTTCCACCGGTGTCTGAATTGGCTGCTCTTTTTCGCTGGATTTTCCTTCGAATCTTCGTCTGTTTAGCTTTGGCAGACAACAGTGTCTCTTGTCGTGTTATCTTGACAGTCGATTGCATGAAATTTGGGCTATCTGATAATAGCTGGTTAGCGAACCTCATCACCGCCTTTTTTCTCCGTGGTTATAACTTCCGGGCAACTTCAATCGCTTTGCTATTTTCGCGTCCTTTGTTGATCGATACATTAGTTAGTTAGCCAATCTCATCGTCCTATAATGCGGTTTTGCCATACGTTTCTTCTTAACGGTTTTGATTCGGTTCCTCAGCTATGCTCCGTGCACCAAAGCGTAGTGGATCTAATTGTCCCGGCCCACGTCACCAAACTAATAATGATAATAAACGCTAGTAGCATGGTGTGTTGAGTAGTATAAATGGAAGCCCATCACATCTAACCTAAGTTGGACAGTCACTATGCGCATGGAAAAGCGCTGCACGGCTGTCCCCTCCCCTTCGACAGCGATCTCATATCCAACACATAATATTATAGTTAGCGCTTTATTACTTTTTTGGGTTTTTAGTCCGCAATGATATCTTCTTTTTTATTGCAGTACATTATTTGCGATTTTTTACTCTCAGCTAACCTGTATTGACGAGGATGATGATGTCACATCCCTTTGAAGACCGTCAGAAGTGCGGTGAGGGCGTTACTCTGTCCTCTGCACAGCATTAACGTGCAAGTTAGTGAGCATTGAGCAAAACCATATCACATCCATCATTACCGTTTCCCGTGACCCAGCCGTCTTCACCACTGATCGGCAACAGTCAGATTGCGGGTTCACAGGGTCAGATGGAATACGTACCGCTAACGTTTACCGAATGGATGAAACGGCCGTACAGTGCTTTCCCGTGCTTGTAACGGCTGTGTCTGACTGAGTCTAGATACGATGAACTCTTGTTTACGCGATTCAAAGTAACCAAACGATTAATAAAATTATCAGACGAAGTAGTTGAGCGACATCAGCTGAGACATGCATGCAAGTGCGCCTGTTACTTTGTGTGGCTTCCTCACAATATCCCAGGGAGCATCCAATCGTGCCAGTGTGGCAAGTACCAGCCCAATGCAGCGTTTCTGTATGTTTCTTCCTACTCCTTTGCCATGTCACATTGACTGGCAGACGTCTCGGAGTTCCACCCGACTAGGCACAATGTTGGTAAATACTACACACCGAGGCATCCCGCTGACAGGCATACGGAAAACCTAACCGACTAAGCAGTGGCGGTTCGCGTTCTACAGACACTTCAACGAGGCATCAACTAGCGGACTTTAGTGTTTCTTGTTTGGTTCTCTCATCAGATGTGAACACAATGTTACGTTAGCACTGGCGGCTTTCTTCTTGATACTGTCTCCGTAAGCATTCTGTTGTCTAAGCACCCCCAGTGGTCGAACTGCTGATTTACTGTTTGTCCCCTTTGGAGTCTGCAACAGTGACAAAGTTAATCTTCTTGTCATAATTTCGCTCAATCGTCTACCCTTTTGTTTGTTTGTTTTTCAGCACACTCGTTCACACACGTTCCTCCAAATCAGTACGTGTTTCCCGGTGCCGAGCTTTTTATAAGTCAATCCGAATCCGCGGACTGTCCGTGTAGCAGCCATTCCGATTCGAATATCATGTCTCCTGTGCATCATGAAGAAACTATGACTCATGCTCAATTGGTTGCGAACACTCTGCCGATGCGCGTCTCCACGGGGTTCAATGCCGAGAACCGCTTGCTTCGCCGTCTCATCCTTCATGAGTCCGCTGCTGGTGGGTCACTTCATCGAATGCGATGTTCAAACACTGAAGAGGACCCGCAGCACATTGATCAACTGGCCGGGGACCATGAACCTCAAGACAGTTGCGCATCTGGCCCGTCGTCTCAGTGCCGCGTCGTCGCCGAATCTCCAACTCGCCAGCCACCAGAGTCCTCTGTCGTCGATGCTCCAAACGAGCACCCCGCCCCTTCGTCTCCAACTTCGCCTCCTCATCCGTCACCCGAAACGGCTAGCGCCCCAGATTTGAAACGCGTCCGGACTGCTTCCCCTGAAAGGCAGCAGGACAGCGGGGATCGATGACATTAGGATTCTCATGTTTGTTTTGTACAGGTGCCCCTTGTAAACACAGTTGCATCTTGTCACCATTGATAAAATGTACTGTCACTACCCAGCGGACATTTTTAAAATGTGACTTGTTCGCACCTCCTTCACTTCGACGCGTGCGAACCACCAACCTCGTTGTATAGCCATGCGGACGATTTCATCAAATATCATTCATTGCATTCTTGTCATTGATACAGACTTCTGGGCAACTTATTTTGAGTTTGAAGACCAAGTTGCAGTTCCAGGTAGAACCATGGGTAGTCCTCTTACAGTGGCTGAACCGTAAAATCTAGTCCTGTGACTGAAACTTGCTTTTTCAACTTGTTACTGCCCATAAGGATGTGCTTCATGTCCATCGACAGTGTTTAGCGGCCCCGTGCGGGTGGTTGCATCGGTCGGATTTGTACCCTGTCATCCTTTACACGTTACACATTACTTGCGAACTTACGTTTATTTACTCATATTACTTGCTTAGCCGTGGTGACAACGCGCAACATACGACGGCTGTTCAAAAAGTATCGGCTTTTTATTTATCCTGCGCAAAATTATGAAGATGGGGACGCATGCTTTGGTGCACGTAACCAGGCGATCCTTATGCGTATTCGTGTATCTTCTTCCCTTCGCGTGGGAACACGCGTGGTGGGAACACCGCGTGAGTAACGAGCGTGTTCGACGCATTGTTTACGGCACAGGAAAAGGAACTGAACCACTCAGCACCTTTATTTCACGCACCAGGCTCCGATGGCTGGGCCACGTGTTACGCACGCCAGCCCACCGACTCCCTCGACGTGCGTTGTTTGCTCACCGGGGATGTGGATGGAAGAAGAGGAGGGGTGACTAAGCGACGACTTGGTCGAGAGGAATGAATGCCCTCACTTCTGAGCTGGCCTTAGTTAGAGCGTCTCGGCTCCCTGGTTGGGGTCCAAAAGACGTTGAACACGTTTGGCTGGATACACTTACTGACATGGCAAGGCGCCGACCTCAGTGGCGTTCCTGCTGTGAGTTTCTTTGTCCCTCCCCATCCCTTTAGCCTCCCCCTCTATCTACGATCTCATTTCTTAGGGTAAAACATAATAAAAAAATTATTCTTTTTGCCTAGTAGCTGGCTGGTAGTTTACCGGAACGATGCCTATCCGTTGCTGGTAGCTCAGGTGGCATACAACTGTTGTATCTATTTTTCCTTTGTGTGTTGTATTATATGTATGTATGTATGTATTTCCTTCATGTATTGCGGCACAATAGCGGAGGTGTTTTCTCACCTCTAGCTGACGTGTATAATGATGATGATTCTTTTCGCGTGGAGAAGCCATCTCTCCTCAAACTACTGTTGCGTGATAACGTGCTACTGCACGTCGTCTGATTTACGCTTTCAATAAATGAATGTGCTGATAGAACAACATGGCCGCATTAAATTTTTCGTGAAGCTCGGCAGTTCCCAACTTGGCACTATTCGAAAGATACAAGAGGTTTTCGGTGAGGTAGCAATGAATACCACACGGGTAAAAGTAAGCGGCACATCAGTGGAGAATGAAGGCGCCAGCATTAAGCCGGTACGCAGTACTGATGCTTCGCTACCACTCAACTACCACCAGTCGCGCATGAGCTAAGGGTAATGCGAGGGTCGCCCGCTCCCTTACACAGGCTCGAACCCGCGCCTTCGGATTGCAAGATAGACTTGTGATCCTGTGGGCCGCGAGCCGGCAGTGGAGAGTGAATCACGATCCGGTAGGCCCTCGACAACCAGAAATAGGATTGTCATTAACCAGGTGAAAAGCTTGCTGATGCTGCGTCGCCGAATCACGATCCGTGAACTTACAGAGGTGAGCGTCACGGTTGGAGTACTACCGAGAGGCTCTGTGTCCCCTTCATGACGCTATGAGACGCAAACCCCTTGATCTGTACTCACCGTCACTTGTACGCATCAGCACACTCTTCAAATTCAAAAATGAGTTTTCTGGCCAAACACAACATCAATGCTTCGATATGCTTGCTCACTACGGCCCCGACATTGCTCTAAGTGACTTTAGGCTGCTCCTACAACTGAAAATGCCTCTTAATAAATGAAGCAGATTTTAGTCTAGGTAATACATCATACAAAATACGAGTGGCCAAGTGTATGTCATCTCGGTAACGGCGTTCCAGTACGGTTTCTTGCAGTGTCAGAACAGTTAGGACAAATGTGCGACGGCCCAAGGGGACTACTTTGAAGGAGACTAAGGTGGGGTTTTTGTGTTTGGTTAGATAATTTCTTTTAAGAAACTTCGATGCCTTTAGAACAGCCTTCGTACGTCGTGTTAGCTGCATTTGCCGCTCCATCCGCCGCTCCGTGTATCTCTAACTCACGTGGTCCTGGGTGACTAGTACTAAGTGTATTTTGTTTGGAAAATAATAGTCTCTAAATTTTGTGATATGCTTAGAACCGATCTCGGAGTGACTTTACTGAGGTTTGCATAGTGACAACGCTATGGATACATCTTACACGGTTCGACGAAACACTGCTGCATTTTCTGCTCTCTTTTAAAATCGTGCGAGTAACGACTTCCTTTTCATTTTCCACGTCCTTAATCTGTCCCTGCTCTTTTCGCCACACCATGAGGTTTTTTTGCTAGAAAAAAATACCAACGAATTTGATGTACTCAGTCATTTCCTTACATAATCTGTGGAGCGTTCAGATTGGTCGAGGATGTAAACGTTTGTTGATTCCAGACAACTTCATCATGAAGCCGGAGGGTTATTTTCTTGGTTATTCATTTTGCGACCACTGTGCACATTGCAAACGACGCCGCGTGACGTTGCTTTGTAGTTGCGCTTTGGAGACTGTTGCAATCGCTTTTTGTATTCTTTTAACCCACTTTTATTCCCCAAACTGTGAAATATCACGATCAATCCTTTAATTAGCTGCATCTCACGTTGTCGAGAAATAAACTACGTCTGTATTCAATGTATGGCTCGGCTGGGTCCATGCTCTGCTCATCCGCTAAGATTACCGAATGCTCATGCTTGTATTTCACAGCACTCTTTATGTGTTACTTATGTACATGTTGTCGGAAATCCACTGTGGTCGATTTCTTTGCTATGCCCTTTTTGGACACTCCCAACCATGTCAACTTGTAACTCAAGCTGGAGTTCCAATTAGGCGCCGAACCTATCCAAGCTTTACGACTCCGTACTAGCACCGCATTCCTTCGGAGGTGTATGCCCAGTCTTCATTCACTCGACCTGGAACTCTGTGTGTTGCCTGCCGACTGTCGCTTGACTTTTACATGGTCAGCAGCCAACTCTTTCGTGTGGGCTCGCTGATGTGAGACTTGGCGATATTTGACCAGCTTGCAGTCCCAGCGGTGGCCATATTGTTTACGCTAACTGTAATTACTTTGAAGAAATTCGCACATTCCTCATCGTGATCGCATGCGAGGTGCTGGTCACAAATCGTATGCCCAGTACGTCGAGTGCAACCGTTTGGTTTGGTAACACACGTTCCACTTTCGCACTAGTCTTAAAACACTGTGCGAGTGAGATGGTCATACATGCGGCGTAGAACCGAAGTGAATCTGACAAACTGTTTTACCTCCTAACGTTGGCTGGTGTTAACTGGGCACATTCCAAATGGAAATAACCGGAACAATGAGAGCAGGTCGGTTTTGTTCTAACTGCTTTGGCGCTCACAGCAGGGCCAACTTTGTCTTTAGGTCGACTCGCATTTGCCGTCGTGTTTTAGTTTATCAGTTGGGATGTTGCCTCGCCAAACATCATCATCAACTAGCTTCTCGTACGAACAATAGTACAAGTGCGACTTTGAACTGATCAGTCGACGCGTTGATCTCACGTCGCATACGATAAAATTGCACCATAGCGTGCGGGACTATTGATCGCCCACTTAGCAGGAAATCGACGAAAACCCTTGGCTGAACGACTAGGCTGGGTTCCTTGTAAGGGAGCTTAATACACGCCGTAGTTGCTCCGCAGAATGCTGAATACGATAGGATGAATGTTTGTTCGAAAGTCCTTTATTGAGTGAATCAACCAATGAAATAGTAAACCGAAATAGAGCAAAGTTATGCACGTGGGTATCGGTGGATTATTCTACAAGATTGCAAACCCGTACAAAGCAGAATGGTCAGGTAATTTTCGACAGGATACTTACATGTGATGCAGTTTGTCACTCGAAGATGAATCGAAGTAAAACTCACTGATTCGCAACAGAGTGTGATGGAGTATATCCGATAAAACGAAGAATGCATAAAATTTGCTATCCTTGCAGATTGCCAGCGACCGTCCTACTAACAATTGCTTTTCACCAAATTCTTCTTTTCTCTCCAGCTCTATTCAACATTGTCGCAGGCTTCATTAACGAATTCTTCCTTACGGAGCCGCGCAATGCAAGTATTGATATTCGAGTGGGTAAAGAACTGGTTGATCTGGTCTTGGTGAACGAATTCTTCGCACACCCGTTTGTGGGCGAATGATGTCGAAGCGTTGCTACAAGATACTAGTGTTGTGCTGATAGTTCTACCTTTAAAAGCATTAGCACCGCATACTAATGTCACTGACGACGCGTTGATTCAATTGATGTCTGTTACGTGGTAGAACGAAGCTGAACTGATCAGACCGCTCGGACTATGCATCGCACTGGCGAGGAATATACGTTTTATTCAAATACCTGTGTTTTTACCGAAAGTGATACTTTCCTTTGACATAGATACAGAATTTATCAATCTGTCTTCAGTATCGCCAGTCATCTTTAGTTTCGACTGGTCGCCGGAAAACCTGTTCACACCCACCTTTCGATGCAACGAGTAAATGAATTTGTCACACTGGGGATCACCACCCGACCAATTCGAGTTAAATTGTGATACAAATCGGGATTGTGCGTCGTAATCTGTTCACAAGACACGTACTCCAAAGCCCAACTGCTACCTCGTATATCTGCTTTGACAATCGTTGCTTTCTACCGCATCTGACCCATCTTGGATGAC